CAGAGACAACAGAGACGAAGGTAGACAGAGACAGACACAACAGAGACAGAGGTAGACAGAGACAGCAGAGACAACAGAGACAGAGACAGAGAAAGACGGACACAGGAAAAGAGACAGATAGAGACATATACAGAGACAGATACACAGACAGAGGGGGCAGAGACATAGACAGAGGCGGAGGTAGACAGAGACAACGGCGACATAGACAAGAGACATATACAGAGACAGACGAAAAGAGAGAGAGACAGAGACAAACACAGAGAGAGACAGAGAGACAGAGACAAACAAAGAGAGAGAGAGAGAGAGAGACAGAGACAAACAAAGAGAGAGACAGACGGAGACAAACAAAGAGAGACAGAGAGACAGAGACAAACAAAGAGAGAGACAGAGAGACAGAGAGACAGAGACAAACAAAGAGAGAGAGAGAGAGAGACAGAGAGACAGAGACAAACAAAGAGAGAGAGAAGGAGACAGAGACAGACGGAGACAGAGAAGAGACTCACTGCCCCCAGTCGAGATCTTCAAATGCCTTTTGCAAATACCGGATGCCTCCATGAATTAATTTGGTGCTTTTGCTGGAAGTTCCCGCAGCAAAATCATCTGCCTCAATTAAACAGCACTTGAGGCCCCTCGTACTAGCGTCAAACGCAACACCCACACCTGCACATACACCCCAAACGCACCTATGCATGCAGATGCTGCATGCACACACCAACCAACGCTTCTTTACCTGTCAACCATTAATAAATGCATGCAATAGCAGCAGAAGCAGCAGCAATAGTAGTAGTAGGCTATAGAAACAGCGTCAGAAGATGTACACGAGACCGGGCAGAAACAGCGTGCAGCAGCAGCGGCAGCAGCAGCACGCTGAGCAGCAGGAGCAGCAACAGCACGCTGGCCAGAAGCAACATGAACAGCAGCAACAGCAGCAGCAGCAGCAGCAGGAGCAGCAACGTGCCAGCAGAGCCTCCTCCGATGACGAGAACATCGAACTTTTCTTTTTTCATCTTTGCAATCATATCTTCTCTAGACGGAGGCAAATAAGCAGGGGGCCCCTTAGGTAAACCAGGAGGGAGGCTCCCCCCAAAGACATTACCAAAGGCGTTGCTGCCAGGGGGGGCCCCCAGTATACCCTTTATACTTTCAGTGAATGTATTAGTAATAGGCCCACGAAAGACTCCTGTAGGGCCCCGCTTCTCAGGTTCTAACCAAGAGGCCCCACCCCCAGAGGCCCCCCCTAAGGGGGGGGCCCCAAATGAACTATCATTTGCTGTTATGTAGTACCGAGTGCCCTCAGGTACCTTGCTTCTGTTATGATGCCTACGGAGGAGAGCAGCAGAAGCTGCTGCAGAGCCTACAACTGCGGCAGACACGGTAGTAACGCCGCGGAGAACCATCTTCAGAAAGGTTTAGGGTTTACGGTTTACGGTTTAGGGTTTAGGGTTTACGGTCCCCCGACTCGCTCCTCCCACGGCCGCGGAAGCCGCGGCTACCGCGCGCTGTCACACACCCCAAAAGAAGAAAGAGCAGAAAAAAGAAGAAGTCTCAACAGAAAAGCTTCTTCCTATTTGAATTTCTACTTAGAAAGAAGAAAAACGATGGTCTAGGGTTTAGGATTTAGGGTTTAGGGCTTAGGGTTTGGTGCTCCCGGGCGACTCGACGCGCCGAAGACGGAAACCCCAGGGCACCCCTTGTTTGTTTTCGGTTGTTATAGAGAAATAAACGAGCACTTGATGCCTTTATAGCTATTTAGAATAAGTTAAGGCCTCAATTGATCAAGAAATGCAGGCAGAATCTCAAAGAAAAACAAAAAACTTCAAGGTCGGCAGCAGTATGTGATGCAGCTATTCAAGCGGCGATCTGCGGTGTACGTACACCCCAGCCGCTACTGCCTCTGGGTAGACACCTGGTGTATAACCGATCTTATGAATTATTATTCCTTTTTTAGCAATTAATCAACCCAATAGACACACACACGCACACACACACACAAAGCTCCCCCTCTCATATGCTGCAGATACACCGTCAGGGTAGCAGCAGTGGCTGAAGCAAAAGCAGCTCCAGCAGTGAAACAAAAAAATCTGCTCCTCATGATATCTGCTACTTATGCAGAGGTGCAGCAGGTAGGTGTATAGGCCCTTAGCAGGGTCTCCTTCGGTGTCTGTACACTCGGCTCGTTGCTTCACAACCCAGCTAGCTTCCGACTATCCTTCGCTACGAGAATGTCTCAGGTGTATAGGCAGCTCCTTTCTCGCTGCATGTACACCTCTTTATAATGCTAGGCTCTCAGCAACGATTCCAGCTGGCAGCATCTGCCTCACGTAGCCGCTCTACAGCTCGTTACAGTTAGCTACAGCTAGCTACAGCTAGCTACAGCTAGCTACAGCTAGTTAGAGCTAGTACAGCTAGGCACGGTTGTGGCTAGCTACTCCCAGCTGAACGTAGCTGTGAAGAGCTCTCTATGACTAGCTTCAGCCCCCTAGGGCTAGCTACAGCTAGCTAGAGCTAGCTAGCGGCGAGGGCGCTTGAGCTGTCTGTACAGCAGAGAGTTTGTTTACCTGCAGAGGGGATATAACAAAGGCAGGCAAACGATCTCAACGGTTTCAACGCTTTTAAACCCTAAACCCTAAACCACCTCCAACTAATTTGGGCTAGGTAGGGTTTAGGGTTTACGGTGGGCAGCAGCACAGTGCGCTGCGTGCAGTCGTGGGGGCTTCTGGTGAAGGTCTTCGTAAACCTCAGCATACACCTGAAGCCAAGGCTGCCTCCTGAAATGAATTAGAGGCCAACGCTTGCTGCGGCCTTTGCTGTTGCCGCTGCTGCTGCCGTTGCTGCTGCTGCTGCTGCTGCTGCTGTTGCTGTTGCAACTGCGTTGCTCCTGGCTATCACAGGAGAGCGGAGGGGGAAAAGGCACGTGCAGTGGGGCCAGCGTGCTTCCGCTGCTGCTGCTGCTGTCGCTGCTGCTGCTGCTGCTGCTGCTGCTGCTGCTGTTGCTGCTGCTGCTGGAGTGAATTATCTTTGGCATTGATTAATACATTCGAGGCCCCCAATTTTCTGGGCAGGCGAAGAGCTTAAAAAAAACCAGCAGAAGTGTTTCCCCGCTGCTGTTGCTGCGGCTGTTTATATGCTGCTGTTCCTGCTGCAGTGTTGCTGCTGCTGCTGCTGTAGTTGCTGCTGCAGTTGATGCAGTAGGCGTCGGTGCTGCTGTGGGAGTATGGATGTTACTGAGTTTCTTCGTCTTTGTACTTCTCTACGAATTGTAGGTAAAATGTTTTAAATTTATTAATCATCTCTTTAAGCAGTGCTTCGTCAGGTAATATGCAAATACGCACGTGAAACGTGCCTCTTCTTTGCTCAAAGCCGCTGCCCGCAACCCCTACTATACCCGTCGCCTTCAATAACTCCAAACAAAAATATAAATCTGCAGACATTCCTGCTGCTGCTGCTGCAGCTTGCGCCTCTGAACCGTACATACACACAAATTATACATACTTACACGTATATATATATATGCATATGTGCAAGTATATATATATATATATGCATTTGTAAGTATACGAAGC